ATCAACAACCTAGTGGTTTACTATAACCTTTGCCCATTCCTAAGTGGAAGTAGGAAGAGGTCACGATTGATTTATCATAGAATTCTTATGGTTTAGGTATGAACATGGTCTAGGCATGGACATAATGTAGTTTGGGTCGTGGTTGATCGATTGAAAAAGTATGTATATTTTCTTCCTATAAGGTCGATAGATCCAGTAGAGAAGTTAGCACAATTATAAGTACATGAGATTGCCTGATTACATGAGATTTGAAGGTTATTATTTATAATCATGATGGTATGTTTACTTCCAAATTATGGAGTGGTATATAGAAGAATATGGGGACTAGAATAAACTTAATTACTACTTTTCACCCAAAGACATGGTCTATTCGAAAGGAATACTCAAGTACTTGAAGATTTACTAAGATTATAATTACTTGATTTTAAAGGAAGTTAGGAGGATCACAAACCTTTGATTCAGTTTAGTTGTTATAATAGCTTCAAGTCATGCATTAGAATGATGTCATATTAGGCTTTAAATGGTCGTAAGTATAAGATGTCTTAGTTTTGGATAGAGGTAGAATAAATAAAACTATTAAGGACAACCTTAATGGATGATGCTACTACAAATATTAGATTTATCAAAGATAGATTGAAAGAAAAATAAGAAGTATTAAGATTCAAAGAAAAAATTGAATTTCAATTTAGTGTTATTCATTTTTGGAAGTTATCTCATTCAAGCGTGCGAGTATATTTGGTAAAGAAGGATGATGAGCCCAAGGTATATTAATTCATTTAAGGTAATAGGCATAATTAGGAAGTTTGCTTATGGATTGCTATTGTGAGGTTATTTGTCAAATATTCAATATGTATTTTATATTTCTTCATCAAGAAAATAGGTTAAATATTTGTAAATACGATCGCATATGATGAATTAGAAGTGCAACCTAATTATACTTATATAAAAGATCTTGAATATATTTCAGCTTATAATGTTAAGAATTTGAAAAAAAAAAAAGCTAAATTCTTATGATGAAAATAAGTTAGAAGCATATTTTTTGATAGAGAAGCCACTTGTGAGAAAGAATTTGAGATGAGACAGCTTTATCCTGACCTGTTTGATTGAATGATTTAAATATTGAAATGTCAAATTTTTCATTTTCTAAGTAGGAGATATAATGACTACTTGTATAGTAATTAAACTTCTTGTAGTGAAAAATTTTGGATCTGGTAAGACTAACATATTTATTTAGTACTTTTTTAAACTTTTATAAATTATCAGAGATATTTTTATATCTAATCACTAAAGAATCTATAATTAAATTTTGGGGAAATTTGTCAAGTGGAAAGAATCCCTTGGTAGCACTTTGGCACAATCTTATTAGTGTTGTAGTACTCATGTCTCAATTTTCGGGTAGAACAAATCCCTTAGGGCATTGTCATATTTGCGTTAGAGTGAAAAGCTCTCTATTTTTAGAAATTAATAAGTGGAAATTATCACATAGGAGCATTGGGAATAATATTATATTAGGCACTACGGTGCTAAGTTCTCTAGTTTCCAGAATAGTGGTCGTCCCTTAGTGGCACTGCGACATTAAAGTATTCGGCATCATGATGCTAAGGAAAATAATTTTTCTATAAATATCCAAATCCACTAATTGTAAGTTATTGATCCCATTACCAGACCTTTAGAGAAACTGGAGAGAGAAAGGGAGAGAAAAAAAATATTATAAAGAGAGAAATTTTTGTTTTAGGGACCTTTGGCCTATATTTATTTGTTGGGCCAATTAGGAAAGTTATTCAACTCGAGATAGGTGATATTTTTACTTCCATTATTTTAATATTTTTTTATTTATGAAATTTTTTGTAATAATTTGTGTAAACTTCACAAAAATCAATATATCTTTATATCCAAAATAATTGTTGTTGAACTTTAGTCTAGCAACCCCACATAGAGGCTTGATGTTGTTGTTGTTGTTGTTGTTGAAATTTTAGTATGTTGTGTTCTAATCATTATGCACATGTGGGTATAATTATTTCAATTTTTCATCAGGTATTTTTGGTTGTGTGGTATTTCAAGTACTTTGACAAGTTTCTAGAAATTTGATAAATATCTATACAATATAGTGATAGCACCTTCACTAAACTATAAATATTATAAATAGTCATATGTAAATCTTGTAAGCTTTAATGTTTTTTTATGCACTATCTCATCCGAAAGCAAAATACTTTGATTCAATTAAATGCTAATTTAGTTTAATGATGTCTTACAAGGCATTTATGCAAGAATTTTTATTGGAATTATAAGTTATTATGAAGTATGTGTACATGTAAAATGCTTGAGAGGCATAAGAGCTTGACATTGTACATGCGAAGCACCTCGAAGGTGTAAGAGCCTAATAATATACACATGAAACGCTTGGGATTGATTCTTTACATGTGAGTTACCTAGGAGGAAAAGGGCTTAATATTGTATATATTATGTAGTAGGGGTCTATAAAGACCTTATATTATATTTACATGTGAAATACTTAAGAGGTATAAATATCTGATACTATATATGTGAAGCATTTGGGACTTATATTATACATGTAAAATACTTGAGAGGTATAAGGGCTTGAGAAAAAAATTTAATTTTTATGTTGACAATTGGCCTGATATATTAGAAAATTTATCATTTTTATATGGTGTTTGCATTTTAGTTATGAGCATGATTATGAAATTTCTACATCTATAACATGTTGTATTGTTTCAATCGTGGTGATAAAATAACTTGTTTATTTATTATATTTTCACATATTAAAATTTTAGATAGGTTTTGGATTACCTATTGAGCGGTTGATGCTCATTCATGCTTATTCTACATGTGCAAATTTTAAGATAGGAAAAGGAAAAGGACATGATAAGTAGAGATAAAAGTGATAGATTCCAGCTTATAAGTATATCTTTTTTCAATTATCATTTTTTCAGTCATGGTGATGTTGTATGATGATGGATAGTCATTGATGTATCATGATTGTTGTAAATATATATTTTGATAATATGGTCACGAGATCTAAATTGATTTGAAGTTGATGATTTTGAATATTATATTTTAATGATATTTATGGCAATGTATTATAAATATTATTAAAATATATGAAAATAAAAAAGATAAGAGAAAAGAATTCCTTTCAATTAGATTTTGGGTATTATTGGTCACCCATCCAACATGAAATAACCCATCTGATATAAGGTTTATGTCATATTGGGTCATGATAATAATCACTATCACTAGTAAATGAGTGAACCACCTTATTGCCAACTCATTGAAGGTTGTGAAAAATAAGGGCATTTTATATTGCTTTCAATATCTAGGAGGGAAGTCATGGATTTAAATGTGAAAACATGGTCCACAAGGTTGGTCCTAACTCTATATGACTCCAAGTGTGGCACTTTGAACCAGGGAGAAGTCTAACCTCTACGATCTCCCATGTAAATGTATTGGTGAGCTTAGTTTCAGTCCATCTAGCTCACTCGGTTAGTGGGTTATAGTCTTCATCACTCATCAGCATACAAGTGGGATCAGGTACTATTGTTAAAGTCATTGCTTGATCATATGTTCTGCTACAATGTACTGTCTAGCTAGACAAACCCTAGGGGGCACTATCCCTTAGTGCTACCTTTGGTAGCCCTTGTAGGGCATCCTAGATTATCTTTGTTATCCTCTTTTTCATCTCTAGTATCTTAGCAAGTCATTTAATTGGTGTTCTCCATGTTCACAGATGGTTGCGAGCACTCAGCACATTTAGACAGCTTGTCTTCTTGCCACTAGCATTAACCCACACTCACCGCACCTTGGAGAATATTGGATTCAAATTTATATATGGATGAAAAACATTATCGGTATACCAACTCTATGAGTGAGTGACATGGAGCCTATATGAGAATGGAGAGAAAGGGGTATGTTAGAGAAAAATTATAATAAAAGTGCTCAAAAGTTTGATTAGTCCAAGATTAATCAACTAATGATCCAAAAGGCGTGAAATGCTCATCTTCACCTTTTATTTATAGGGTTCTGAGGGCTACAAGAATACACATAAAAAGTAAAATCTATAATATCACTCAGACTACTCTAAACACATGACTTCTAATTGGCTGAGAGGGAGCTAGGAGTTGCAGAGCTCTTATGACTTGGCTCTAGACGAGCTCCATAGTGTCAAGCGTCCATTAGGCGAGTTCAATATGTACTGACAAGTTTAGTAGTGATGAATAAAAAGAGAGAGTCTGCGAGCACATACTGAGCAAAGGGCATTCGATGACAAAGCAACGTCAAGGAGTCGGTGGTGACCTATGTTGAGCCTTAGATCAAGAGCCTTAGATCAAAAAACAAATGAACTGAGAGTGCAAAAAAGATGAACTCAATAGCGATTAGTCACGATAGGTCAAGATGAGGGCTCTCTAGGAGGATGCTTTTCTAAGTTGGACTAGGATGTTTTGTGACAAGGCCGGGGAGGGGGTGGGTGATGGAGCGTACCCTCAATGATGGCAAGCCATTGCAATTGCTACCTCCCCTCCATGAGACGAGTGGTGACTTATTTGGCTTACAATCCTCTATGCCTTCGAAGAGGGGCGACCTCTTTCATAGGCCTGAGCTTAAGACGAGTACCTCCATGAGGCCCATTGATGGGAATCAACTTCTCATAACTCATCGACTACCCACTAAATACATATGAGACATATATGACCATACAAATATACTTAAAATAATCTAGTAAAATCACAAAAACTTCCCCCCTAACATCTCAATTCTTCAATTCGACTATTTTTTTAATATTTACGTTGTAAGACTTATTAATAAGATTTTCTTTTTCCCACTGAGAAATTGGATTGACAGTCCAAACTTAATTTCGTGTAACAAGTGATTCTCTTATTCTGTAACGCAAGCTTTCTAGTTTCTTGAGAGAAAAAATTTGCCGGCTTTTTTTTTTTTTAACATGACATTATTCTCGTAGAAAAAAAAAATGAAGACTTACGATATAAAAACATCTGGTGTCAACTAAGAAGCTCGCTCAAAAATTAGCGTATCATGATTAATGTACCCTGAATACAGGTAAACATCGCTGCATAGTATGGAAAAAATAGTTACCTATTTTGAGTACCATCGCAGCAAATCATGAACGGATGAATTCATAATGCCCATAGTACAACTCAAGTGATTATGATGCTAAAATCATGTGCAATGCTGAATTTAAGTTTACTTACCATCGTACACAGCTTAAAGCCTTCACTAACCAGAAAGCATCAGATGCTTTCCTGAAGGGCTAAACACTAACTTAAAGCCTTATAAATGCAAGGAAAGAGGCTCTGCATTCACGTGATGAGTTGAGGGTAAATAGATTAGTTTATTCCTAATGGGATCGAAGCATCTTAACCTTGGGCATTAGCTTCTTCATTTGCCTGGAGCGTTCTTTCTCTTCCTTCTTGCGAATGGCCTCAGCACTCAGCTTGGCTTCAGCCTCCTCAACAATTTTCTTCTTTTCAGCTTTCTTTTTCTGCAGTGTTTCTTGCCTCACACCTTGCATTTCTTTAAATGCCTCTTGTGCCGCTTTTGCTCTGGCAGCTTCAGTTTTTGCACGGGCCTGCAACACATTTAAGAAAAAAAACTTGATCTCCCACTTGACTCGATAGAATAAAAATCTTCATAAAACAATGATTAGCAGATCAATTAAGCATTGAAACATGAGAAGGATGAAAATTGATAAACCTGAGCACTTGGCTTGTAACGTCCAATTAAATCAATGTAGTAAGGTACAAGGTTAACCAATCTTGTCATGTCACTCATGTTATTTGCACCTGGAAGTACGAATTTGAGAACTAGAAGCTTCTTATGAGTGCCTGGGTGTTGATCGGAGAAGTGCAATGAAATGAAACCCTTCCCAATCTTCTCAAATGCCTTCTCACCAAATACCTGTGAGAAAGAGAACCAAACACTACAGGAAGTATCATGATCATATACAAGAAATCTTCACAGGCATTATGAGTGAAATTAAGTGAAGATGAAAGTAGAAAATATAAATGATTCAGTGGCAAACAGGAACATCAATTAAACATTTCGGGAGTAAAACTATAGGCAACAGTATATGGGAAGATCAAGTTTATTTAAGACATGCATTACACACTTAAACATGTGAAACACAAAATGTTTGTATCTATATATCAGACAGCAGGTTCATCCAGTACTTATACAATGAAATGGACATGAATTGAACGCCATGAAAGGTTTTGAAGGTATACAGAAGTTCAACTTCTGTTACTTAAACATAATAACAGTAGAAAATTTCAAATCTATATCATTGCTTGTGAGTCGAAGACTCATCTAGCAAACAAATATAAAAGGACCTTCAGCCACTACCTCTTATATGGCAGTTGCAAATAACTAACAAACCAATATATACCATCAACTCATAACAAACCCATTGCATCTTGATCATACACTTCTAAAGCTATACACTTATATACATACAAATGTATATCATCAAACATTGGAATAAATACATAACAAGAAAAAGGTCAATTACCGTCGGAGATTCTGGCGGATCTATATACGCCGGTAACTACGGCGTTTTTAAGGGCGTCGTATGCAACAGAAATATTACGGCGGAGTTACCGGTGGAAATGGCGCCGTTAAATTTCCGATGCCGATTATGCCGGTTTATATGTTGTAATCTGTAAGCATATTGTATAATGCGGCGCATTTTACGCCGGAAATTTCCGGCGTATTTACCGACGAATAGGACGCTGGTCATTTTAAACAAAACAAAATATTATTGTTGTAATAAACGAAGGAAAGACTTCCAGCGTCTTATCCGCCAAAAAATCCGTCAGTGGAAGCCCTATTTCAAACCCGAGGCCGTCTGGCTTATTATTTCATTCTGTCATTTCGTTTGGGTCTCCGCTCGCCTCCGTCCCCCCAGTGTCACCCCATCGAACCTCACCGCTGCCAAGACGTCCAGACTTCCATGAAGTTCGCCGATGCTCACCGCCTCTGTCGCCGGCGAAACACAATAGTTTTTAGGAAAATCCACCGTAAGTTTTTTATTTTTTCGCTGATTTTCTTAGAAGAAATTTGAATAGAATGGTGAGGACCTTGTTTTATACGTGATAAGCCTGGAGTAGCTCCACCGCTGCGAAGATCGTTCAACCTAGTTTGCCGACGTTCGCCACCTCAATCGCCGACTTCGTCTACTGTAAGATTTTATTTTTTTTTCTTGTATTTTTTCATCAGACATTTGCAAGAGGATGTGCCTTGGTGTATAATTTTTTATGATCATATTATTCATGTTGATACGACTAGAGAGAGATGAAGTACTAGACCTAGTGAGAGGATTGTGACTTTGGGCGAGCAAGTCGTTAATAAGAGTACATGTTTTAGATATCTTGGATCTATTGTTCATAGTGTTGTAGAGATGAGGATACTCAGGTGGATGAGTGGTTTTACCCTTAGAGATATTTCCGAAATGAGCATATACATGATAAGGTTGGATTAGCTCCATTGGAAGATAAAATTAGAGGAAAAACATTTTAGATATTAAAAAAATATTTATAACGATGAAGGAAATGTCTGAAGATATGATGTGATGTTTGGAGCCTCGTATTTGGGCACATAAAAAGACAATAATTATAGGAAAAACATAATTAAGCGTTTGTGTTTAGAAGGAGAGTAGACGGGCGATGGAAGTCGGAAGGATCGTAGTCAAGTTGTCAAGTTGCCAACTATTGTCATCTCCTTATATACATTATATAACATACATTGCTCGACTTATGTCTACCAATAATCTTTATCTGACAATTGTCACAAAATCATTATAATCTATTAATTATCTGCTCCATATTATATGTAGGTTATGGATATTAGAAATCAAAGAAGATGGATGTATAACCAATAGGCGCAAGGACGAAAGACATTAATAAATAAATTCATTAATGGGGTGACTATTTTCATTCAGACAACGAAACAACTATCTATCTTCATATCAGATGGAATGTTTCGATGACCATGTTCTAAACATAAAAATCAAGTGCACCTAAAATCAGATGATGTAATTGTTGATCTATATCGCAGAGGGTTTATGCCATAATATTGGTGTTGGACTTCTCATGGTGAGTACGAGCCACATTTTAATTCTCGATATGGTACATCTACAAATAGTAATATAGCTGAGGATGAAAATATCTGAACAAATCTTGAGGAATTAGTTCATGCTACAACTGGAATATAATCTGAATAATACACAGAAGAGTTACCAAATAAGGAGGCACAGAATTTTTATGATTTGTTGCATGCTACCCAACAACCAATATGAAAGGGGTACACCACTCACTCAGAGTTATCTGTTGTTATGAAAATGTTAAGCATCAAGGCAGAATATAATGTTGCTCGTGAATGTTTTAATCAATTCATTGGGCTGCTTAAGAAAACCAACCCAACATATAATATAATTCCTACAGATCTATATCGGATAAAGAAGATAGTTTCCAAACTTGGTTTGACATACATAAAGATAGATTGTAGTGTTAATGAATGCATGTTATACTTTAAAGAAGATTTATCAGATATTGCATGCCGTCATTGCAATGCATAAAGAATTAAACCAAAGTCTAGAAATAAAAGAAAGCTGAAGGAAGTACATGTCAGTATGATGTTTTACTTGCTAATAATTTCTAGACTATAATGGCTATATGCATCCATGAGATCTACTGCACATATAAGATGGCATAATGATCACATTCTGCAAGGTGTTATTACACATCCATCAGAACCAGAGGCTTAGAGACACTTTGATCGTACACATCACACATTCGCGACAGAAACAAGAAATATATGATTAGATTTATGCGCAGATAGTTTTACTCTGTTAAGTTAGTCTACTTCATCTTACTCATATTGGCCCATGATACTCACCCCTTACAATCTTCCTCTAGAGTTGTGTATGACTACTTCTTATATGTTTTTGACACTTATCATTCCAGGGTCACATAATCCAAAAGTAAAGATTGATGTATTATTATAACCGTTAATTGATGATTTAAGTTTATTATGGGAAGAGAGAATAAGTACATATAATATTTCCACCAAACAGAACTTCATAATGAGAGCAGCATTATTTTGAACAATTGGTGACTTTCCTGCATATGATATGCTCTCAGGTTGGAACACTTCCGGCAAGTTAGCTTGTCCATATTGTATGGAATATACAAAATCACTCACTTAAATGTATGAAAGGAAGAACACTTTGTTCGATTGTCATCACATGTTTTTACATCCAAGTCATTCTTTTAGGTGAAATAAAGATGCCTTTATTAAAAAAAATGATGATGTTGCAACCTCCTCCAAGATTAAGTAGTAAGGAAATATTTGAAAGAATAAGTTTCATGCCCATAATAATTGATTTACCAACATTACCTGAGTATAGATTGTCAGGATATGGTGTCAACCATAATTGGACCAAGAAAAGTATTTTTTTGTCATTGTTATATTGGAGAATAAATCTGATTTGACATAATTTGGATGTCATGCATATAAAGAAAAATATTTTTGATAACATTTTCAATACAGTCATAGACATCAAAGATAAATTTAAAAATAATATAAAAGCAATGATGAAATTAAAGAAGATTTGTATATGGAAAGCATTAGAATTAAAGGATGGTGGAGGTGAAAAACTTCTCAAACCAAAAACTCCATTCACATTAACTTTAGAGCAAAGATGAGTAATTTGTGAATGGGTAAAGACCCTACGGGTACCAGATGGATATTCTTCCAATCTAAGTAGGTGTGTTGACATAAGATCAGGGAGATTGTTTGGATTGAAAAATCATGATTATCATTTTTTCATACAATGTCTACTACCAACTGCTTTTAGTTATCTATAAGATCAAATTTTAAAGCCCTTGATCGAGCTAAGTGTCTTCTTCAAAGATTCATGCTCCTCTAAACTAAATGTAGAGAATTTGATTCTTATGGAGCAGCAAATTCCTTTTTTCTGTGTCAACTTGAGAAAATATTTCCTCTAGGATTTTTTGACTCTATGGAGCATCTACTAGTGCATTTACCATATGAGGCTATAGTCGGTGGACCTGTTCAGTATCTGTTGATGTATCCTTTTGAGAGATATTTAAATAAATTTAAGAAGACAGCTAAGAATAAAGCACATCCCAAATGTTTTATATGTGAAGCATATTTAATGTACGAGACAACTCAGTTTTGCTCGTATTACTTTGAAACAACGTCACAATCATGTAGAAGTATTGCACCTCAAAATGTGGATAAATCCTCTAATATATCTGTATTCAGTGGAAGTGGTGAACTTGTAGGCGCTAATACCGTGCGTTATTTGACCGATAAGAAGATGAGAGTTGTTACACTGTATATCTTGTTTAACTGTGATGAAGTTGAGCAGTATCTCGAGTAAGTACGAGTTAGTTTGTTCATATATTTATTATTCATAACTTTGTTTTAAACCCTAAAGTTTGTAGGAGGTTCATTGATGGTTTAAGTACATCAGAACCAGGAAAAGTCTAGAAGATAGTGGAGAAAGAATTTACTACTTGGTTTAAAAATATGGTGTATTTCTCGACTATTCATTTTGAATAATTTGTCTTAATTAGTTAACATAGCATGCAATAAATATGCTAATAATATAATCTAATTCATTGAAAGATTCACATTGAAGACAGTGATTCGCAGTATCAAGGGCCACTTGACCTAGCTTGGGGACCAAATAGATTAGTTAAATGTTATCAAATATTTTTTGTTAATGGTTATAAATTCCAAACAAAAAATTGATGTGAAGATAGGAAGACAGAAAATTCTGGTATATGTGTATGACGGAAAACACATATATGGGATGATTCTGAATACTACGGGGTATTTACAAGAAATATTAGAGGTGGAATATCCCGATCACG